AATACTTTTAAATAATAAAAATAATCATAAGTTATAAAATTAAAACTATTCATATCATATTTTATCTTGTTTATAATTATTAACAAAATAATCTTATATTTTTCTTAATAAAATAATATTATTAAGAAGATAATTTATTAATTATAATAATATAATTTCTTTATAATATTTATATAATTTTAGAATAGATTATTTTTCTTAATTAAAAAATTTAGAATAGATTAAAGATAGCATCTCAATTAGTTATAGCTTGATTATAATTCTTTAATTAGTAATTAATTATAATTAAATTATAATTTTCTGATTAGATATTGCAAGTTATAATTAATTAAGATATTATTTTTAAAATAGATTGATAATAATTTTAAAAAAGTATATATTTATTTAAAGATAATAAACTTTATTTTATTTTTAAGAGATTTATTACAAATATTAAGTTTAATAAATTATTTTTATTTTAATTTATTAATTAATATTATATTAATATATTTTTATTTGAAATTTATTAATATATTTTATAATAGATTATTCTTTCTAATGATATATTAATTATAATTTTAATATATTACTATAGCTAGTTATATATATTAACTTCATTAATTTAATTAGATATTATAAATATAAAATTATATATATTATATAAAATCTAATTAATAATTAAAAATTTATAATTTATATTTTTTTATATATGAAATATTATTATGAAAATTTTAATAACTTATTAAATTATTATTATATTTTATAAAAAAAATATATATAATTATAATACTTATCAAAAACTATCTAATAATATATTTTTTTAAATTTTATTTTTAGATACAAAATTTTAGTATTTTAAAATATTAAATATCTTTAAACTTTTTATATTATATATAAAAATTTTTAATTTTATTAACAAATATTTTTTATTTTTAATTTAAAAAATAACTAAAATTCTTTGATTTAATATATATTTTTTCAGATTTTAGTTAATAACTTGTTTTAATTATATACAGAATTAATTAATTTTTATTAATTAATAATTAATTAACTTTATATATAATTATAATAAGTTATCTGCAAAAAAAATTCAAAAATCTGAAAAAATATATAAGAACTTTAAAAAACTTATATATATATATATATTTTACTAATTATAATTAATAAAAAGTTAAATAAAAATAATTATTAATTTTTATTTTTAAATAATATAAATCTATTAGATAACATTTTAAATCTAAATAAAAATTATTAGATGATCAAAAATTTTCTGATCAAATAAGAGATTTCTTATTAACTAAAAATTATTTTATAATATTTATTTCTCTTTGCTTATAACAATAATCTTAATATAATTTATTATCATGTAAATCAAAGATTTAAAAAATGATTTAATATTTTGAGTCATTTGTCCTGTAACTTGTAATGATTTTTTACAGAATCTATCAAGATTCATAAATTGTGTCATATTTTCTAATTATTACAGTAATATAATAGCACCAATTGCGTCTTTAACATAAACTATATAAATTAACACCAAATAAGCTATCCCATTTTTCAAGTTCAAAAAATGGTAACATTTTCGGAGATATATATCAATCGATTTGTTGAAAATCCAGATTTCGCTTTTACAATTTTTCATTTTAATGTACATCAATATAATCTTTTTGAATGCATTAAGATAAAGGTTTAATTTGGATTTATTTTATATTAATACCTGAATTGTAAGTGATTTCAACATCCAGTGACGTGAAATTAATTACTAGACATTGTACATTTACAACAAATGTATTCATCGAAGTTTCATAAATATTAGATAGCATGCCTAAAAAATTCAAGAAAAAAATTTCGTCAAAATAATATTAGAACAAATGGGCCGAGTGTAATAAATTGTATTATAAATTTTAATAATTTACAACCATTTCTATTACACTCAGTCTAAATGCATTAATCATTAGATTCGATACTTACATGAACTATAGTCAAGTGCTCTATATCACAATCTTGTGCATCCGAAACACATTTCTCATCAACAAATTCTTCATACGAACAAATTTTTCTTCGATCCTTTGCATAACCTTCAGGCACCGTAATCACTAATTCCTTCAATGGCATCACATCTTGACCAACGATACGATTGATATCTTCCATGAAAAGCATGCTCAATGGCCATAGCTTTCCGTCTGGTGCTCTGATATCTTGTGCACCAACAATCAAAAATCCCGAAGGTGGAAGAAGTGAATGTGCTTCCCGGGCAAGATGCATAATTGCAGCCCGGTAGGTTGGAATGTCTTTTGCGTTGAGCACATTGTTCGGAATATGGGGAATTACGATGAGGGCTGTTGGAGTCGGTGGAGGTAAAGGCTTGCTTGATAAAAGTTTTTCAACATGCGATATATCGTCTGATGATTCACTTAGATCAGAAATAAGACCCTTATAAATGTAATAATAAAAAGATTTATCAATACGTGAAATAAGATGTTGCTCACATTTTGCTCATACCAATGTCAGAAGCATTTTCTGGTTTTCTTGAATTCTTTTTTGTCTAATTTTTTCATATTCTGGCATATCATCCAAATCGCTTTGACTGTTTTCTAATTATTGAGGATTATGTATAAGAAACAGGAAAACATCCAGAACTGTAGAATTATTCGATAGATGATATTTACCAGGATTACTATCCATATCTGTTGTATTTTCTTGGTTATAACTTATCTCCTAATAAGTAACTGGGAATCAAGAAGCTGTGTAATAAGAATAAAAAAGCATAGCTGGGAAAATAAAAAAACTAATACCTCTATATCTTTAAATTTTAATTTAATCTCTTCCCAATTTGCTAAATCTCTACCAAATCTTTCGACCTAAAAGCATTTTATCGAATTAATAAATTAGGACACAAATAATTATGACTAAGGCATCATATTTTACATGTACTTGCCATTCTCGAAGTACATAATAATACAAAGTCATGTTTTGTGGATGGTTTAAAAGTCCATGTTGTGCCCATTACTACACTCTTTCTAGCAATCGGTAAAACAGGTATTTCGCGTAAAGTACGTGTAAACGATACGTTATCCTTGATTATTGAGTATTCTAAATATTAAAGAAAATAAATATTAAAGATTATTAAAAAAATGACTTGATAATAATGTTTATAGAAAAAGCAAAAATACCTGGTGTTGATGTCAGTTTGTCATTATTTGCTGGATCCACCTTTTTCAGAGTTGCAATAAACTCATGCGTAAACATTAGAAAATCATACTGGACACATAAATATGTGCCTAGTCCAAAGGCTTGACAATATCGTTGCCTTTTTACTACCTACATATTGTAAAATTTTCATAATCATCTGGTGAATAGGGATTACAAAAGTGAATGATAAATACCAATTCTTCTCACCAGCTCTTCAAGTTCAAATCCATGATCTATATATTGACGAATTAATTGAAAGCTAACTGGAACGTAGAAACATTGCTCACGATTATCTCCGATTCCTAATGTGACTCTCTTTGTAGGTTTCAGTAGTCTGCAAATGTTTCATTCATATTAGTTTATGATAAAAAACTGCGCATGGTAAGTTGAGTAAAAGGGACGCACCTCCAAGATTCTTCAACTACTTTAGTCATTTCCATGTTAAATTCCTCAGAATTAGCAAATCGCGATAAATCCCCATCGATATGAGTAGAGTATTCAACACTGATGCAAATAGTGTTATCATAGAAATTAAAGCCCATTATGATCATACCATCATTTAAAAGCAGCAACCGAGCCTACCAGTTTTTATAAGGAGGATGACTTAATACATGATCAAATGATTGATCTTCAAATAATCTTCCGGAGAGTTGTCTCGAATCAGCTTGTAATATTATGGGGCGATGTTCGGCAGTAATTCCGCGACCCGGGGGAATTGCAAAAGAGCAGTTACGTTGTGATAAAGCAACGGCAGCCTTGATGAAAATATTTTAAAAAAATAAATAATTTGAAGATCTTTGCTATTCTTTACGCAACTACTTACTGGATTGATATCAACTCCCACACTCCTAATTAAGAATCATATTAAATAATTGACATATTCGAAAGCACATCAAGTTAACATTTATTTACCTTCGAGATAACAAGAAACATTCTATTGCATCTGTGCCTAAAAGTTTAAAGTAATTAAGATTTAGTTAGTTTATTTTCAAAAATAATGATCAATAATGCATAAAAACCTCTTCCTAGAAAATTAGATAAGATTCTTTCGTTCTTTTTGGTATAACGAAGCACAGCCCTTTAATGAAGGTTTAGATTGATTAACATTTACGGATTATTTTTTTTATACGAAATCATTCCTTCCAACCTGCGAACAGTTTGTGGTAGCCACGTTCCATGATAATCAGTGCCACTATGAGTGGCCCCTTTTTTTTTGATAGAAATTAGATTTTTAATTTAATTATTAAATTTATGCACAATATTGAAGCATTAGGTAAAAATTGTATTACAGCGCGGGGCACGGCCTGGAATATCGAAATACGAACTGTCGAATGGCAAAGAGAATAATTGATTTTCCGCCGGTTCATAACTGTCTAGATAAAGCGCTTGAGATTGTGAACTGTCGAACTTGACTGCCGAAACTGATGTTCTTGTCAAATAAGGGGTGTGTGTGTAGTCTTCAATTGAAGCAGCATATTTTTCTTGTCCGAACTGAGATTCATCTGTTGGATTATTTACTAATGCTAATTCAAAGCAGTCTTCGCACATTAAAACACCATTATAACCTACGAACATAATATAATCAGTTTATCTGAAACAGTCAATTGTTTACATAGACAAGCTCGATATAGCGAAATTTCTGTAATACTTGTTAATTCCTTATATAGATACATGAATAATATATAACGAAGCTTCCAAAAATGTTTATTAATAGCCTGATTACCTTCATTATATCGAGATTGCCCATGTTTGCGTAGCAAAAGTTTGGTTACAACAAAATTAATTTACCTTTACGCCAACGTGTTGATTCTTCTGACCAACAATATGAGCATTGGGCATGTGTTCCATTTTGATTCTTTTTCATTGAGTTTTTAGATCTTTTACGAGACACTAATTCATCGTGTATTTCATATTAATAGAATGGTTAATTAATAAAAAATAATATAAACATTATGGTATAATTGCTACCAGATTCCGTTGGAGGCTTTTGAATTTCCAAAGCAAGCGCTTCTTTTTGTAAATTTTCTTCTTCTTTGATTTTTTGCAAGGCTGAAAAAAATGCAATTATCAAAATATTTTTATATTAAAAAAGAGCAAATCTCTTTAATTGATTAATAATTTACTTACATGTTTCAACAAAATCATCTTTAGAATGTTCATGGTTTTCAGGAAAATTTTCCTGAAAACACTTTACAAGAGTAAAATTGAGTGTTTAGAATTATAGTTCAGGGCGCATGAAGTAACATTATATGTCAAATATATTAAAAATTACTTTTATGCACAAATCAAACGTGGTAAAATATTTGCCACTACAAGGTTCACATGTCCACCAATTTTCTTGTAGCTCGCAAGAACAGACATCACATTTGAATGATTCATTATAAATTTCTGTATGAATCAATGGGTAGACTTTAGCATGTTTTTAAAAAGCAGATCAAATACTAAGCTTAGACATACCGATTTTGTTATAATTAGCTTCATGGGTTGGGCAATAAAAAATAACGCCCATTTCAAAGTGCGAAAGTGGTTTGCCAGTACATGGTAAATGGAAGCTGCGATTACACTTTGGTTTAAAACATCCCATTGTCGCTCCGCGTTCTTTGCATTTTCCGCATTTCTTTATATAATTTCCATAGTTAAATTTCGTTATATGTATATAAAAATATAATAAAAATGATGAATTATGATTATTACCATGCTTCTTCCTCGTCTCCAAGCTATTGTCACATTATACCAATCACTGTCTTTAGTCAGTAGCACTTCTGGTGAATACTTCGCACATGCATAATGTGCCCAAAATGTTCTTTTCCTTTCGCCGTGGCGTGTAGATGCACGGGAGACAAAAGGATAAGGTCCAATAAAACCTCCTAGATGTTGGTCATCATCATCATTACAAAAACCACATATTTTCCGCGAGTTCCAAGCCTTCAAGTACAAATACCCCATGTCACTTTCAGGAGGTATAAATTCATTGAGAATTGTGCTGTTATCATCTTTGTATGACATATCGAATTCATCTTTTTCGAATGTCGAAATAAGTTCGCCTTTTGAAGTTACAGTTGGCGCTTCGCCATCGAGAACTGACTGCATGGCAAAAGAACATCGTGGATGCTGATGATCCTCAGGGAAGCAGTGTGCGAAACACCTGTATCGAGGGAACAATTTAGTCATTTTTGAATTTAGACAAATAGTATAATAATAAAGGGATTACCATATACAAAGTTCGAAGCTTTGATAATCATTTCCTTCTGATGGTGATTCACAATATGTACAATAGTATCTAAGTAATACAAAGAAAAGTTATTAAATAATATTTATTGATAAGCTTAGTTTAACAATAAGTTTGATTACCTGTATTGTTTTATAATGACATTACATTGATTACAATAAATAAACCAATTGCCTTTTCCTTCATTGTCACCATAAACTTTACCATCTACAACATATTCAATACCTTTTGTAAGATCTTCATTGGCATTAGTTGATTTTTTGACCTTTTTAATTCGATTAGATGCTGACAATAATGACTCTAACTCATCACTATCCGCAGTTGAATCACCATCATCGTATCCACCACGCAACCGTTGGCTATTTATATCAACCCATTCATCATAAATCGGCAAATAATTATCATAATGAATTAATACTCTGTATCCTTTAGCTTCGACTACTCTGCCTGGATGCCATTCTTTGAACGCATCACGTGCTTCGATCCTTGCACCGGGTCTGTAACGGGTTTTTAGTTCGTTAAGATCAATTGAGGTATCTTCATCAAATCGAAGACGTGATCTTCCTTTGCGCCCGGCTTGACGGGTGCTACGCCTAAGGTATAATTCACGCCAATCTAGATTGCTTGTCTCGCTTGTAGATTGGCGACTCTGAGAATCCCAATGATCGGACTCCTCTTCTTCTGGTTCGTATTTTTGAGCAAATATTTTTGGTTGGGACCGAGTGCGAATCCTCTTATTTCTGAGATTTGATTGCTTGGATTTTACTCGAGAAGAGCGTATTCGCTTCTTTGGCGCCCATGTGATATCAAGATCTTCTTGTTGTTGATCTTTAGAAGCTTCTGTATCAGCGAACCTTAATTGATATTCCAGGTCTACTTGAATATTTTTTTGAGCTTCCAATATTTCTTCAAGAGTCATTTCTTGCAATCTCGAACTTTCTGCAGGCACCCATTCATCAAAATTTGAGCTCCAACCGTCGAAATTTACACGAATTTTTCCATTTTGAAAATCCATCATCATACCAGGGTACCACTCGCCATCATGACTCATTACTTTGACACGTTTATAAATTTCGAAGCCGTATTGGCCACCGCGTCTAGAACGGCCACTTGTATCCTCGCCAAAGAGACTTCGGCAGTAAGAGCAAAGTTCCAAGCTACCAACTCTTTGCACATTTAAGTGCATGATATTACAAGATTCACATTTTTTAGGATTAGGGGGAGGAAGCTTTTTCGAGGATGATCCTGACTCAGAATTATCACCAAGGCTCTTGGATGGGGCTTTAGCTTTACGAGTTTTTCGACGATTTTTGGGCTCAGATATTGAATCCACTATACTTTTATTGATACTTAGATTATCGAATTGAATATGTTCAATATTAACATAAGGAATAGATTCTGTTTCAATTTGCGTAGTGCTAGTGTCATCGTCTGTTTTAGTTTCTTTTTGTCTCGCTTTTGCTTTTGCGGGGTGTTTACTAATATTTTGAGTAGCAACGTTGGCATTTTGTTTAATCTGATTCTCTTGAGGTTTCTCTTGAACCTTATTATTCTCTTCGCTTTCAATAACTTCGACGAACTTTCTCAACCTCTGACTGTCTACCCATAACCATTCGTCGTATTCTTGGCTCCATCCGTCATAATGAACTTTTACCTTAGTTTTTTCAACTTTTACGACTTTTCCCGGATACCAAATTTTATCAAAATTAAGAACCTCAACTCTATTATGAAGTTCATAATCATGCGTGACAGATTTAACTCTAGCCAATTCTGGTGCAAAGAGAGGAATGCATTTCTGGCATAATTCGACTGTACCTACTGTCGCAAGATTGTCGTAAGGAGTGTTGCAAGACTCGCAATTTTTAATTTTGCGTGGCTTTTGTCGAGTCGAAAAATTATTTAAATGATTCAAAGACTTTTTGACACTTTTATTTTTTGACTCGACAGATTTCTTTTTTCTCGCGTATGATGAAGCCGCCCTCTTTGCAGTTCTGGCCAACGAAAGATCTGATCGTGGATCACTATAATCGGAATCAGAAGAAGAACTTGAAGAATCGGACAAATCGGTTAATTCACTATCTTCACTGAAGATTTGTTCGATGGACGAAGGTGATGCTTTAGAATTTGACGTTTCCGATTTTTCAATTACTTCTATATTCATATTAGAAATATTTTCCGATTTATGTTGCTCGTTGACTTGAGATTTTGGAATAAATTTATTTTTCGTAATTTTGCCACTAAAATCTGTACTCGCAACTTCCGAACTATTACTCTTGATATAATTTTTGCTATCTTTAATATTTTTACTGTTATTTTTATTATTATTTAAATTCTTGTCAATTGAATTTGAACTAAAATCGATAGAAACCTGATTGTTCCTTTCATCAATCTGTCTAATCTCCTCGTCACTCATAACACGCATCCTTGGACTATCAGTTAAAACCCATTCGTCATAATTTGCATCCCAACCATCATATCTAATTTTCACACCAGTTTTATTTGACGCAATAACTTTACCCGAATACCAAACTCCATCAACATTAAGTACCATAACTCGTTGATTAATCGAGTAACATTGGTAGGCCAATACTGAAAGCTCTTTAATTTTTCTTCGGGTTAATACATTGCTCGAAGCAAGAGCAGAAGATAAATCTGATTTGAATTGTTCTGATTCTCTTGCCATCACTTCGTTGGAGATCAATGAAGGATCTGGCGCTTGTATATTAATATCTTCTGGCATTTGTTCGATGAATACAGTTGGTACTAATAATTTTTCATCCGTGCTTGAGGATAGCCGTGTAGCATCTTTCATATCGATATCATTATACATATTTTCTGAAAGATGCTTATTATTGCTGAAGATTTTATTGTTTTTTTCGTTATTGTTCTTGGTTTGTTCTGAATTTGAATTTTCAGAATCATAAAAATTTATTGCTTTTTTATTTTCAAGGTGCATTTCGTTATTGATGTATTCACCGAAATCAGAAGAAGCGATCCCATTAAATATATGGGAGTCCGTAGAATTATCAATTTCAGATTTCGCGCAAAAAAAGTTATTCGAAGAATCGAGTTCATTATTTGGTGCGTTGATAGATGAGTCGATATTCTCACAATTAGTAATAGATTCCTCGTTCGTTGTATCGCAAATTAGGTTCTGCAGAGAGCTGGAATTTGGATGCTCAAATCCATTTTCTGGTTCGATCAAGGATGATTTATCAAGATCATTAATTTTTATGTCAATTGGTATTGTCATATCGATCGATTTCGTAGCTTCATTATGCATTTCCAGTTCACAGAAACCACTATCTCGACGAGTATCTGGCAAAGAAGTTTCTTCGGAAGAACGTTTTTCTTCGGAAGGGATGGATGTGATAAAATCTAAAGATTGCTTTTCAATAATCTCGGAATTTTTTTCCTCAATGGATGGAGGTGAATTAGAAATATTTACATTAGTTTGGAAATCTGTAATTTGCTCGGTCGTCGATTCTTTGTCCTCTGATGATTGATTTTCTTTTTTGTTTACTACTTTTTTTTCCTCATCATCATCGTCATCATCATCGTTATTCAATCCCAATCTAATGCGCTATAAACGGAGGGATGCATTTAATAAACAAATTCCAATATAACAGAAGGTAAACACCCAAAATCCATCAAAGTTATGCACCTTTTTAGGTTCTGGAATTTCTTGTTGATTATTTTTTTCAGGTTTTGTAATTGCCTTATTACTACTTGTTGTGACTGCTGTTAGTCCTGGTCGCAACCTATTCAACCTAGTTCCGAGTTTAATTTCAATTGCAGCACCAATTTTCTTTTGGCTAAATAATTTTTGGCCATCATTAAAGAATGGACGAGTTGGTGATTTAATCTCATTAGATAAAGGAGTTGTAATAGGTTTCACCAATAAACGCTTTTTTGTTTCACGATTAGAAAAAAGCTTTGAATTATCTTGTTGCTTTTTCACATCATGGTTTATAGCATTTGATTTTAAATCTTGTTTATTTGATTTTTGGCTGGCTACGGTTGATGGTGTTGAGGTGAACGATTTTCCATTTGTAGCAATTGTGGGATTTTGACTAGTTGAAACTGTCTTTTTCTGTAATCATGATTTAATTAATAAAATGAGTTGATAAGCTTTTGTGTATATATACGAAGACAATCGGAACATACCACATTTGAATAGAGAACAGGACTGGCTTCAATATACGGAGATGAAGTGGGTTGAGGAGGAGGAGGAATACCATAAGTTGAATTTATAAGTGGAGTTCTTGGATACTGATAAGCTATAAATGGTGGCGCATAACCAGGCGGCAATTGATAATCCATAGATTCTTGGATCTATAATAATAATATTATTATTACTATATTCTCTATTAGATTAACAATAAATAGCCAGTTTTTTCACTACATAAATGATTACCTGAGCGCTGGATTCACTCCAGAGAGAAGGATTATGAGAATTATAATTTTGCGCATGCCAAGGTGGAAAATTTTGAGGATGTTGGGAGTTATGCCAAGCAATCGAGGTATGATAATTAGGATCAGAATAAGAATTCATTTGTATCGGGGTAGGGTAAAAATTGACGGAAGGAGCACCCGCCATTCCAAATATATTATTATTAACATTTTGAGCATTAGATGAATTATATTTCTTTGATGCTTGACCATTATTAATTTTTTGGAAATTATTATCTCGGCGTGGTTTTTGATTACGAAAATGCTGTGGAATAGTAGATTGAAGTCCAACATGACGATCACCCTGATTTTTATTGGAGTTCAAACTTTTATTAAATTTTCGCTTTTCTTGTCCAGGGAAAGCCGGCGTTACACCTATCACAAAATTTTTTCGTCAAATTTTTTACAAGTGCGAAGATATGACGAAACTTGCTTAGGTGACGAGAATAACAATAGAATAGTGGTACTTACCTTGAGCATACTCTGGCGCTTCGGGCTGCCACGCAACAGTCGAAGTTTTATTCTCCGGAGGCCAGGCGAAATTTTGAGTTGACTGCATTACTGTCGGACGTGAAAGACAATATTTCGAAAACAAACTCTGAAAAGCAAATCCAAGTGAGCCACTTTTAATCACCAAGAACAAGGGTTTGTCAACAGAGTATTCTTACTGGAAAACTTACAGACAATCCTCAGATTTTTATAGGTCGTACGCGTCCAAGAACTCTTTTAATTGGTAGAAAATTTGTGACTTAAATTCTGGTCGTCCGACAAAGGGTAGGTATAGCTTGTATGTAATATAAAATGTGAAAATGCACAATATAAGAACCAATAAATCAAAGGTACGAAAGGTGAACCAAAGTTCAACAGAAAACGAGTGAAACCCGAAAAAAAAGGTTGTCTTTGAGCCAGAGAACTGCCATTAACTAGGGCAGGAGGCAATTATTATATCGTACGCACACATAAAAAGGAGTTTCGGGACAAGGGCTGTTGTGCAACCGCAAAATTAGCATTTTTTGAAGATTTTCCGACATTTGTTTGGAGGTTTCAACGCAATATAGGCAACAATAGTAAGAAAAGACGACATGTTTTAGTAGTTTATCAAGGCGAAGTTTAAAGTAAATTATTGTATTTGTATCACGAGGATTTCTTGTTCCAGAAACGTCCCGAATCTTGGGGAATTCTTTCGAGGATTTTCTGTTCCGGGAACGTCCCGAATCTTGGGGCATTTTTTGTTAATTTTTCCGGGAGTGGCAAAAGCACACTTCGCACCAAACTAACAGGGAATCATTTAATTCTTACGATTAACGCGTATTTGACCACATATTTATGCAGGCATAATATATACCATTAATGATCAGGTTTAAAAAAAAATTACCTCTCTCTTCCCTTTGCATAACGTTGAAGGATAATCTCTAGATATAGACAATACTTGTGCGAATTAGAGTTTGCAATATTTGTATTACAAATTAATAAATTATATAAATTATATAAATTATAAAAATACGTGCTACATAACTTGACGTTTGAACATTTTCAAATTAAAAAAACCAAATTGTCGATAATGTGTGGTTACATAGACCAATTATTTATGGAAATATTAATGAATGCCATTAAACTTTAATTTTTTTTTAATTTAGTTAATTATCAACATTTATTTATTGATTCCTACATGATCTTTACATTCGAACAAAGATATACGCATTCATTTTGATTGATTTGATTTGATTGATTGATTAGTTTGTCGAATGGATTGATTGATTGATTGGTTGGTTGGTTGGTTGAATGGATTGAATTGATTGAATTGATTGAATTGATTGAATTGATTGAATTACGTGATTTTTCTAAATTTTGGAATTATCACTCGTATATGCTAATTAAATTATAACTTCTTTAGCTAAATTAAAAATATATAAATAATATACAGTTTGTGCGGCGAGAAAGAGGCTCAAAATTGAGTAAATAATATATAAATATATAAGAATTATACAGATGTCGATTGTTGAGATTGTTCCTTTCTACGAATTTCCTCGAAATAAGGATGCTGAAGTGCAACTTCAGCACTGATTCTTTTATCAGGTTGATACTCTATCAATTGCTAGTACGTAATAAAAACAACATTAATGAATAGATTACAAAGTTATCAATATTAAAAAAATCAACTTACACTTAATAAATTTATCCCTTGTGGATCTAATTTCGGTAACAGGCTCTCGAGGGGAATTCGTTGGTAAATTGCGAAATCGGGCTAAAGATAGGAAAGAAATTAACATCATTATTATTATGTATTATTATTACGAATTAATTATTTAAATTAATAAATTCTTCATTAGCTCATTACTTTGTATTCCGGTAATTGTGACACTCTAGGCCATGTTTCTTCTGTTGGTGTACCTAACACCGTTCAGTGTGATTAAGGAAAATGATGTACTAAAACGTGCCAATTTCAATAAATACAAATCTTGTAAACTCAGAATACTCTTTCATTTTAAAAAAGGATATTTGAATATTCGAATCAGTTGATCTTTGATAGAACTTCCGGGAAAAAGAGGCCTACCAGAGGCCATTTCTATAATACAAAACGAGGAAAGTAATTTAATATCAATAAAATCTTTAAAAATCCACTAGCATATACTTTTCTACCTGCAAATATACATCCTGCTGACCATACATCGATTGAGGTAGAATATTGTCTTGATCCCATCAGCACGTCCGGTGCACGATACCATAATGTTACAACCTAACATTAAAATTAACAGTGTCTTCAGTAACTTTGTATTATTTTGTGGATGACTATAGATTTGTAAATAAAGTTTTTACTTCATGTGAGTAACTTCGAACCGGGATACCGAAAGCGCGTGCTAACCCAAAGTCGGCCAATTTGAGTTCACCTCTCTACATATTATGTATGATTTTTATTATTAGTCGTGAATTAATTATATATTAACATCAATAATATCAATATACTTACCTTATTATTAATTAACAAATTTTGAGGCTTCAAATCCTAGAAATTTCGGAAATCAAGTTCAGTAATGAAAATTCCGGGATAAAAAAAATAACAACATCATAAATTAATGTTAATGTATATGCATAGTACTCTATGTAAGACGCGATGTTCGTGACAAAACGCGATTCCTTTTAACAGTTGGTACATTAATTGCTAATCAAGAAATAAATTCAGATTAATACACTTCAAAATTATATACAACATCTTTTCGAAATTACACAAACCTTGATAGTCGGCACATCAAGGTCTCCCCCATACGTATCTAGAAATTTCTTTAGATCAGAATCCAGATATTCAAATACTAGTGTCAACTTTTTCTCCGTGTGTAATACGTCATATAATCTATGCAAGTTGACTTTTAGCAATGAGAAAGTAAACGGGAACCAACTACACGCATTATTTTAAAGATATTCTACCTGACGATATTAGGATGTTTTAATTCTTTCAGCAAGGATATTTCACGAATTGCTGTGCAAGGAACCTTAAAGCGATTAAGTTAATAATGCGTAAAGAAATGGTCAAAGAAAAATAGGTAATTCAAATGAGAATTTACCCCTTCTTCCTCGTTGTCAAGCCTTATTCTTTTTAGCGCAACAACCTCGTTGGTTTCTCTGTTCTGCGCTTTATATACAATACCGTAAGTTCCTGAAAAGTAATCAAGTATGCGCTGAAGAACGTTAGTAGGGATCACTTCTAGAAAAAACTTGAATTATTTGAGAAAAAGGAGAGCTTGTGTACCTTCACCAAGTTTTTCGATTTTCTTTAATATAAAGTAGGTTATGGAAAGTTGAAGCTCGAGTCACATAATGTAAAATCACAAAAACAATAGAAGGGCGATTTGAAATTCACCTGATATTTATCCATTCCCTATCGAAGAATCTACATACAGTTAAAAAAGTCCAAAGTTTTGTTGGTTAAACGCTGTAGAAATGGTTTGCGGTGGTTGTGTGTTTCTAATCCACGTTTTGTAGCACAATTTCACCATCACACAAAAATTCTCTTTTCCAATTGGATTGATCATTGATGATAAAAATTCGAGAATATTTTTAGTTGTCTTGTGTCTCTTTGTCCTAAAAATATAAAATTCTGTGCAAATCCAAATTTTATTGGCTGATGTGAAAATTCAAGCATTTACGGAAGTTTATTTTTTATTAACGTTAACGTTAACGTTAACGAATAATAATCCTAAAATTGCTAGTGCATATATTGTTTTAATAAATTTTTATTCACAGTAGAAATATATTTCTGAATTTACGAGTCCTTTTTGTCGCGAGACATTAATTGGAGTGAAAGCTAATTTTCTTTTTATTTTAATTATTTGTAATGATAAAATTATAAACACAATTTTTCATTGATTGGAGTTCTTTTGACGTAATTTATTATCGAAATCAAAAAGTTTGTATTTATTACATCCATCAAGAAAAAAAAGATAAATTACTCTGCGAAATTACCATATTTATCGCTAATAGAGTAAAATTATTGAAACGTCATTAAAACATAAAGGAACAATTAAATTTTGAATACATACCTGTGGCAATTAAAATGCAAGTTTAACAATTGCGCATTTCCGGTTCCAACCATGGGACTCCTATAGCATCAAAAACTTCTCTTTCAGTGGAAAGAGGGATACGCCTACGCGGCATAGTATTTGTAAATAGGCCATGAGATGCAAATACTAGATTTTTTTCCTGTATTAAGAATTAAAAACTTAGCAAGCAGGCGTGAATAAATTAATAATAAAAATAAAAGTAAACCTTTCTGGCATAGTGTTTCAAAGATCGTTCAAATTGTCTTGATCCTAATTTCATATTTAAATCGTTATTTAAACGAGCATACAATCACGGAGTGGACATATTCAGAATACTAATACCTGTCCAGCCTACTATTGCGGTTGGATAAAGACTACGCGGCGCAATTATAATATCTACTTGCCGATGTAGTTTTGCACTCGGTTGATAAAATGCGCAAAAACACTAATAAATAAGAATATTTAAATCTTGTCATTTAGGCGAAAGTAAGATATGCAAAATAATGTAAGAAAATTCACTTTATCCAAACGATCCATGAGATTGCGCTTTGGCACCTTTGGCAGCTTTGGCACTTTTTGCACTGTATGACCATACCACATCTTGTATTTCAGGTATCCTATAATGCAAACAATAGATAAACATCACGAGATAACGGTAATCTCAACGGTAAGCAAAAAAAAATAATACCTTTTTGAGACAATTGGTCAATAATTCGTGGTAACAATTTCGTGACCGCTTCTTCTACAGGATGAGTTACTATCACATCAACATCTCCGCTGAACTCTTTTCCACGCCGATAGCCGCCAACTGGGGTAAGTATACACCTTGGATCTACAGCTTTGATTTCTTTTTCAAGAATCTCGATGATTTCTTCGACTTCCTTCCGTGATATCCTATGAATAATATTAAGATTTTATGCAAACCAGCTCTTTTTAATTATCAAAGACATTTCGGATAGTTTAACGACCGGACTTTTTTTGAAACTGTTCAAAGAGTTCCAATCCTATCCGTTGAGCTTCAGTTAGATAAGGATCTTTACAGGCATCCTCAAGGGTTCTATAGCCCTTTTTATACCATAATTGAGCGGTTTTAGGGCCAACTCCTGCGTAATAACAAGTGGCATTTAGTAAGTTTGAACGTTATACTCTGATAGCAAACGCATGAGATCAACATACCATATACATGGGAAAAAGTTTCTAATATTGTGAATTTCTCACTATTACGCAAATCCTCTGCTTCTTCAATCGTACCTGTTTCAAGATATAATTTGGTCTGATAACCTATTTTTGAGCCGATACCTGTTCATAATTATCATTGAATTACACATAAATTGAGTCTAAAATTGAAGAGATCAGAAAAAAGTGAAAAAAAGATTGAAGAAGAAAACCTTTTATTTTTCTTGCTTCCGCTACACTTGCTATTTCTCGAGGATATGCCTAATTTTAATTACAATTAGTAAGTAAGAAGACCAATTTTTGAATCAGATAATTGAGATGCTATCTAGTAAATGCCTTTAGTGCCGCTATTGCGTGACAATAGCTTAATGCATTGCGATGTTCTCCCTCCAAGTCTCGCGCTTTTGCTATAATTTCTAGCAACTCAATTAGGGATTGATTATATTTTGGGATTAATGGTGTTGGGCGAAGACATTCGTATCTTGTATTATTGAATGTGGGATCTAAATCGACATCTTGAATTTTTGAAATTTCAACATCAAATATTAAAAATGGATTGGATAAATTCCAAAAAACAGAATATTCCAAATGCACCTTCGTCTTCTGTATGATCTTCTTGGTCCCCTCCGTATGAAGATAAGGAATCGCTACAAAGTCATATTTGTCATTAATATTACTTAAAGGTTAATTCCAATTGGGAATATTTGTTAGCCGACCTGCCGTCACTTTCTACACTAGAATTCTCTTCCAAATTAAAATTAGTAATTTGAGAGATATCCGGCCTCCGAATTTTTTCTAGTTCACCGACTTTATTTTCTTTTATATTTTTTTGTGTGCCGTAGACAAGGTACCCGTCAAATGGTAATCTCGTTTTAGAGTCTAAACTGTTTTGTATATCAAGAGTGAGTGGCTTAGTGATTGAAGGTATTCTTTTTTTAGGAAGAAACAAAATAACTACCACTCTTCAAGCCATTCTAGAGAGACCACCGGTTTCGGCATATACTCGGGCACGTAACGCGAAATTCTTGCAGGAGATTTTAATGCTGTTATGAAAATGTCGACTTCGTGAAATTTATGGTCATCGTCAATAACTTTTCCACCTTGCGCGATAATTTGTTCTTTAAAATTTTCTAGTTTTAGTTTACTCAGTTTCGCATCAAGTATATGGAATTTCCAGTCTTTGAACAGTTCGCCTTTCTTCATCTTGTGGAGAATTATTACCGTATTGGTACAGGATTATATTGTACTACGAAACAACGATTATATTTTAATTCTATGCCAAAAATAACACAGACCACATCAATACGGCAGTACCCGGCATGTCATGATTTGATCATAATTTATACAATTTTATTTATGACATTATCTCCCATTATCTCCAGAACTTTAAAAGTGCCACAATACGCCACAACCGAGCCCTATAGATCATTGTGACGTTTAAAATACAAAAAAAAATTTACGATTTTATTTTTACGTAATGCGAGTGACCGGTAACTTTCTTATCTTTCTTATATCTCTAAATTTGTAACTTATATGTCTATGTTGGTAACTTCCTTATATGTCTATGTTGCGAGGAGGAAAAGATAATAATAAAAATAAATTAATTAAATAATTATTATATGTCTATGTTGCGAGGAGGAAAAGATAATAATAATAGAAATGATTATAGTTTGAATATTTACAAAATTAGTAATCTATCGACGAAACGAAATAATCTATGACGAAACGACAAAAAAGATGAAATCGAAAAATCAGAAACCTAGAACGAAAACAATCTGACAGAATTTCGGATACGCATATTTGCAGGGAATCTTAAAGTTTTTTTTGATGCGATGTTAATGTTAAAAAAAAAGGGCACGGAATAATAAATCATAATAATAATAATAAATCTATCGTAATTGTGCTTATGAAGTGTGAAACAACAGTAAAAAAAAAAGAAAAGGAAAATTTGTGTGCATAAGTGTGAAACAACAGTAAAAAAGTAAAGTTCTCTATAAATTTTTTTTAATATGTGTATTAAGACGAAAAGAAGATATAATTTAATAGTCTTTTATCCATCCCATGACAATTTTGTCATCCTGATCTTTTTTTCTTCCCATGATAAACAAGTTCCCTGGCTGACCCGTATGATCCTGCGTGAAAGCAACGCACTCCATCTCTGGGAACCCCGTAATACGAATGTGGTCCCATCTCCGTCTTTCCGATAAATATAATTTACACATTTCCCAAGGTCGTACAGCATCTTCTTCATGTACCCAATTGTCTTTTTCATACCCGCCTAAAATCGCAACTCGTTTTCCGATTCTGAACATTGCCGAGCCGCACCTTTTGCCGGTTACTTTGCCAGTCGTTTCTTTCCAGTCGCTTTCATCTCCAAGTGCGAAAAATGGGGAGGTTGAAGTGCGAGGGGAGAAAAGTTTTTGCCATCTATTTTGTAGAAAATTTCGTATCATATTGCTACTTGTGGCTTTAACCATTGATGTGGTAGAAGTTGTGGTATTTGATCTGCTCGAGCTGTTACTATCATCGTTGCCACTCTCGCTACCCTCCACTTCCTCAGCACTATCGCTATCACTGTTAATGCTACTAGTGATAGTATTGTCAAAATTAAATACCCATAAATCTTCGTCGTCGTGAATTTCTGTTTGAGCATTTGCTCGAATTTTTTGTCCACCGTAGATATATAGCGAAGATCCGATTGACAAAGATGAATGCGCAGAGCGTGCATACGGCAAATCGTAGCGGTATTCATCAGGATAGGAATACCAAGTTTTGCTTAGTAAATCATACAAATAAAAGTCTTTAGTGTCATAATATTTGTTGTTGTTTTTTGTTTCTACGCCATGTCCGGAAATAATATCTATTGTACAGATATTGTAAACAAGAAATGATTAAGTCAAATAATTTTTGAAATTGGGAATTAATGCGATTGAATTACAAACCACCAAAAATGACAGAACGTCCTCCAAAGAGTACTAAATGTTGCTTTCCGACTGTATTTAACGAGTGCATTGTTCTCATCGAAGGGACAATACCATTCGTAGGTTTAATATTGCGAAGAACCATTGTTTTTGGATCTAATTCGTAAAATATATTTGACGGGTTGCCAGACACCGTTTCACCGCCGAACAGATAAATGCAAGAACGTACAAAAGTTGCGACAGTATTTCGAAGTGGGATGTATTCCTGGTCATCCAATCTCAGAATTATATTAGATTTGTGCCATTTGTTCACAAATTGTTTAAAATCAAGCACCCAACACACGGGCTGTTCTTCATTCAAGATGGGAACACATAACGCGCCATCGACAAGTACTCCATCACGATAACTTGCAGCGGGAGGACCCTCATTAGATTCATCATCGGCACTACCTTCTCCATTAAATGGGACCCATTTGGGCGTAGCAAAACCAAGATGATAAATACGATATACACGGTATAACCATTTACAACTCATCGCAAGATTCACTTGATCTCGTTCGTCGTCTAATTCATCCAATATAAAGTGAAGGGTTTCGATTGCAAGTGTTGTCAAATAATCAACATTTTGACCAGAAGAAACAGTGTGGGAGCCGCTCATTTGAGCAATTGTATTATACACAACACAACTAAGTAATTGATCTTGATTCTTTGTTGCTAAATAGTGATTCATCGGATGTTTTTGTTTAGAAAAAGAAAAAAAACGATAATAAAAAAAGTAAACGAAATTTAACGAAAAAAAATAAATATTATGAATGTTTTAAAAAAAGTTTCATCTAACTAATATAACATTTAATCGATTTGCCACAAATGGTGTGGTTCAAAATTTTCTTACGCGGATCATACCTTGAGTTGCCTGGAGGGTATAAAGGAATTAAAATGGTTTTCGAATTGGAAGTTAACTTAATAATAAAAAAAAGATTCCCGCCAGGCTAGAAGAGAAACTTTTCTCTTGATCAATTTATGACGACGTGTTTCAAAGAAACTAATCAAGTCTTTATATATTTTTTCGACTAAATCTCGTACATCTCGTTGGAAATTTCTTCTATCTCGTGTACTTTCTAACCTATAAAGGTTTAACGCGTCCTCTTGGCCAAACATAATTAATCTTCAGTAAATTTGCACCCATAATGGTCGCATCTCTCCATAGTTCCACCATACTTTAAAGTATCTGTATGACGAAATATCTAATATATCTAAGAGATCATTGCTTGTTATGGAATCATTTATGCAAGAAAGATTTTTGATTTACGGTCTGTGCAATGTATCCTGAAATTAAGTTTGTTTTTCACTTTATGTATTGCCCCGAGTTTCCCCATTCCACATGCCAAGAACCCGACTTTTAACTTTTTTCAAAAATCCTAATTTGTTTAATCTCGGTTGTTTTTTCGCAAATCCAAAAGACCAAATTTGTTTAATAGGATACGCATATAAATGACCATTTTACGTCATGAATAATTGATCACCGTCTCAACATTAAAATCATCAGTTTTTAATTTCGAATCATCGTGGTCCTCGTGCTATTGCGGTAAAATTTTGATTCGGAATATTCAGACCTTTGTTTGCTTCAAAGTTAAATTATCGTAATCATTAAACTTGATCAAAACTAGATTCCCAAATATTTTGACCTTTTACATCAAAACAAATGTTTAGTATGATGATCTACATAACGCAGAAAAAAGACCTAAAAATATTAAATGCAACAGCCAAGAATACATCGAAACAAAAAAAAATACTGGTTTTTTTGATCCGGTTGAATGACAGAAATTAAAAACATAACAATTCAAGGGTGTAAGTTTGTATATGGTATGCGTGTAGGCACGTGCGTAAATGCTAACCTTTTTCATATAATAAGTCAATAAAAAAAAAACTCCATTATGTAACATTTTAGGATTAGTAGGATTTAGTAGGGACTAGTAATGAAAAAAGAAATTAAGGTTAGTCTTTTTTAATAGCTTGCTCGTTAAGGTGCAGAAAAAAAATTTCGGATTTGGTAACTTGTAAAGCTAGCGTGGAATTTCCGTGCATGCATATTTGGTATAGGATAAAACATCAAGTTGCTAAATTGATTACAATATCAATGAAGATTTCCCTTGTTTATTTTGATTGCGCAATTTTTAAAGTTAAAAAAAAACAAAAAAACGTTTCTTGGCGATTGATTCCAAAATAATCTCACGTTGTAGTTGTTACACATACGAAAATCTTACAAAATTAGATAATCAAAAATTTTCATATCAGCGAGTCTAAAAATCGCGTGCGTATTTTCAATTCTCACCGTTACTCAAATTACCCCGTGTGCCAAGGTTGGATTGATTGATCATGATATGACCACGGATGTCACGGGTGACGTTGCATAGAAACAAAAAGAACTTTTTTTTTTAAAAAAAAAAGGTTTTGAAATCGCTCGGCAATTTAGTACAACTATTTGTTCAACTATGGGCTGTTTTTGCATAACGTGTATGTCATTGTTGTATTCATCGATTAGCAGGTTGAAGAATTGGAAAATGATACTTTGGCAGAAAAAGGAAGTTTGCTATTCATTGATATAGATTTTATTTAATATTAACTTTGAGTACTTTGAGTTAAGCAAATCAAAGTATAAATTTCGAATATGCATCGCAGTTAAGGCTCGATTTAACGATATCATATGATTTAGGCAAAGTTTATCCTCATTAAATCGAGGGCTCGATTTAGCGACTAATCGGGGTAACGGATCAGATTTCGAATACCAATAATTTGGGAGTAATCTAATTATGGGGGATGGCTAAAGCGGGGGTAACGCATGAAATCATCAAATTAATAACAATTTTTTAGTTAAGTTATTGATATTTAATATATACATATAAGTAAAATTTCATGCTGAACATTTTTACTTAGAAGTTAAAGGCTAGTTATCATAGTAAAATTTTGAGTTATTTACAAATTTTCATTTTTTTTGCTTGTTTTGAACTTTATATGTTACACATGATCTTGTAATTAGATTGGTTAACTTCGCCAATATTGAAATTTAATTGGACTGATTTCATGTGTTACCCCCGCTTTAGACGACCCCTAATTATGGTAATTTTCTTGAAAAATTCCGATTTCTCATCTACATATAGAAGGAAGTCGTAATGGATTTTAAAAAATTCATTTTTTTTAACTTATCAAAATTGCTGTTTATGACTATGTTTCATTGGTCAAGAAAAATTGTTATTTATTTCGCCATTTTGGGAGATATGCTCTAATGTGAGTTTGATAGAAATTGCAAAACAAAATTCTTTCGAGAAACATAACGAGAATATTCATGCTTAGCGATTATTTGTAAATTTGTTTTCGAAAAACGTATAATAACTTAAGGTTCAGTTTTACGCATAGTAGAGGTAATCTGAAAGGGTTTGATAATTCTCTGATATTACAAATCAAGACATCACCTCTAAAATTTTTATCCAATGGCTGATCAGCTGATTACAAGACAAAAGAATTGTCGCGTCGTAGCGCGACCACTAAAAATTAACTGAGTAAAAACGAAAGAAAAGACAGAAACAGCTAGAAAAGCAAAATGCCGCCAAGTAAAAAGACTACAACTGCTATCAATAACAATCCGTCTGTTGTTACGCGTACTTTACGCTCTTCTCGAAAAAGAGAAAACGCGGTGCAGGACTTGCCAGTTCTAGGTGACCCACTACCTAAAGTAGCTTCTTTCATGTCTCTTGACGACGAGGAAGGAGTAACATCGACGTCATTACACCCTATTGGTGCTGCTGCTTTGTCAGCGTCCTTTATGTCTATTGAAGACGAGGGAGGAGTAATATCGACGCCATTACACCCTATTGGTGCTGCTGCTTTGTCAGCGTCTTTCATGTCTATTGACGGTGAGGAAGGGAGAGTAACAAAGGATATTGTAAACAGTCAAGGTAAGAAAAGCAAAAGTAAGATATGAATGAACCAGTCGACTATGAAAGCCAAGGATGATATTCATTTATTTCGTGAATTCATTTTCTTCTCGAAGAATCAAAACATGATGCTGATATTATTTTAGGAGAAAGTAATTCAAAGCAAGCTGATCATGATGAAGTCGTGATTTTAGGAGTCAGTAATCTAAATGGGAAAAGTCATAAGGGCAACAATAAGAGATCCAGAAATGACGATGAGACCAACACTGATCAAATCGACGATACTCAAGCTAAAGATAACGACGCTATTATTACTGATTCGTATGATACTCGCAATGCAGCAAAAAAGCTTAAGAGAAATGATACTGATAATGTCATAAATTCTGGAAATTCTGTTCCCTTAGAATCACATACCGATTCGATGGAAATCGAAGGAAATGTAGCAGACCCAAATGATGATCAAAATCAAGCTGATGAGCTTAACAGCGCTCAAAAGACCCCGATGAAAAAAGGGAAATTAACTCTTCAAGCATCTCCAAGTTTTAAAAATGTAAAACGTAAAACCAAAAAGAAGAAAACACGCGAGTATGAATATTTAGTCACTAATCCAGATTCCGAGCTTGTCGAACTTGATATGAGGGTAATAAACAAACAGATACCACTTTTTATACTACATTTTCTAAAAAGATGTATAATTAGTTTCTCCTCTTTGATTAGTTTTTTATGAAGAAGATTTTTTCCGAAAAACGATACAAAAAATTTACCAAAGAACAAAGAGAACGATTAATCCGTTTAGTGCCTTCGATTGATAAAGTGCAGATCACCAAGAAAGGTCCAAAAAAAGACACGGAAGAACCTGTTGAAATTGACGAACAAGCTGAAATTGAATATCTAATGAAGCATTCAGGTCAAGGTTTAAATGGATCAGTGAAAATTGCAATTGAATCCTTTCCATCATCAAATGTGCCTGTGGGAAATGCATCTGGTAATTCATTATCCAAAGATATCGTGACATTTGATGATGCTAAGTTACCAGTCGAAAGTGACGTTAATATAACTATGGATACGGTGGCAATTGATGCTAATGATTTGTCAGCCGAAAACGCGGATATTGATAGTTCAGACTTGCCAGCCGAAAGTGCAAGTTCAACTTCCACAATTGAAGATCACGAAAAAGAGCTCCCCAGTATCTTTTCTCAACTTGATGCGAAATCTACAATTATTAATGATGATAAACGTCCAAAAGAAATGCTTCGCAAATATTTTTTCAATGATATGCAATTTTATGGATGCGTAAAAGCGTTCGTAGAAAAATTAGGCTGGGGCCATTTTGATCCTAAATGGATTAAGAAAAATCAAGCGACTCAAAAACGTCTCCGAAAAACTATGGATGAAGATTGGAAGGTAAATTTCATGTGATACGATAAAGAAGAAAAGATAAAAAGACAGAGGCGATAATAGAAAAAATATAATTATTCTTTTTCTAATATCAACACGCGATTGTTATAACTTTAGGACTTAAAATTCGAAGCAAAATGGGGTCACAATCTCAAACCTAAAAGTCATATGGTCGCGGGGGATTCTGCTTCTCTCAGCCTTCAAGATCTTTGTAAAGCCGCCATTATACGAGCTGGTGACGAATTACACTATAAACGCTTGTTTAAAAAAGTCCAGATTGCTGTTGAAGGAATTGTGAATGTAATGAATTTTATTTCTTATGGCTATTTTTTATTCAAAAAATCATTAATTTAATAAAATAAAATAATAAAAAATTAATAGGTAGTGGAAATCAAACCTGATGGAACAATGTATGTCGTCAATCAAAAGCGACAGACATCCCAACTAGATGCTCCTCAGCAGCCTCCAATAAAGCCAGCAACAAACCGCAAAAGAAAACCCAAAAACGATACCGATGATACTGTCATTGCTTCCAATAGCTCTACAAACACCTCTTCTACCGCGCCGATAGCCATTACTAAACTTTCCTCCCTTGAAACCAAAGTTCTCGATGATGATGGTAGCGTCAGCAAACAGCAACGACCAAATGGAAATGCTAACAAAAACTTTAGAGTCATCCGAGCTGGGCGCGATCTAGGCACTATTTTCGTTTTACGCTCTGAATTCTATGAAAAAACAAGAGGATGATTGATGTCAACACGGCATCTTCATGAATATAAAATAATCTTTGATGAATTAACAAGAATTTTCTTATCATTATACTAGTTATTTTATCCATATTAATTTTGAGTTGCCATCATTAGGCAAGCTTTGTATTTCAAAGAATTATAATAATAATAAATCATTCCTCTAAAAATAATAGTAAATAGCAGAAAGTTGAGCAGTGATCAAGTGAAGCTACGTATTAACATTAACGAAGACCATGAACGATAATAAAAGAATATTTTTCGTAAAAGCACATTATATACTAATGCATGAAATTACGTCACGATGTAATCACAACTCACGTGGTAATGTCGTGGTATCACCGGTCTCGTGGGAGCACGGGATTAGTGATATTAGTAAAGACATGATGTTCTGATGGTCTGATAAAGGATGCACCAATGGGACGCCGACTAATGAATCAAAGCATGAATAATTCATGTATGGGGGAAGACGTCGCGGAATAGAGTAGAGCATATCGAAAAATTCGAAAAATGAATTAACGTTAATTAATTAAATTGTTAATAGATTAATTAATACTTGTAATGAAATACAATAACCTAAATAAAGTCTTTCTTTAATAAAGTATACCCCTTTATCATATTGATCTATTCGAAAGTACATGTTAATTGTGTAGTCAACGGAGAGACTACAAAAGTATCAACATCGTAAATATAATCGGAGTATTGCGATTGCGAATTTTAGGTAGGAACTAACGAGGCAAGATTAGATTGGTGATCGACGTAATAAAGTTGAATCGCGGAAAAATTACTCGAAAAACTCCCGTGATCGTACAGTCTCACGGTTTACTCGGTAGATTCCCAGTAACGAGGTCCACCGGGGTAACAACGTTAAAGGAATGCATTGAACCGAAAGAATCAGAGCCGCTTATATCAACGGGAAATAGATAATCGTTCCAGTGTGAACATACTTAACTAATCGTTTGTATTGCTGCTCTTTTGAATAAGAATTTCTGTAACTTTTTAGAGAGAATCGTCCAAGCTTGATGGTTGTCTCTATAAGCCATCTAATAAAGCAGAATTGATGAAATCAATTTCAACTAATATCTGTGTACATTGGTTTAAAAAAATTGATAACAGGGTGAAAACAAATAATTTGGCTGAGTTAAAAAAAACCAAACCTATTCTTTGCTTTAACTGTCAAAATCTACTCATCTGATTAACTTAATCTGTTAATCTGTCGATCGTTGATTTGCACGCAAGAAATCTAAGATTTCATCGATCCCGGAAAATTCTATACTGTAATTGTTAAAGATCGATTTTAAGAAAGGTTAGGATTAAAGAGTTAATGGTTTAAGGGTTAGTGTTAGGGTTAATGGTTGATGGCTAGGGCGTTTAGGATCATATGTAAATTTCCTGTCTGATTAGAACTCCAAACTAGGTTTAGCCATTTTTTTCTAATATTGCGAGAGGGAAAAAAGTAACTGTCACGTGATGACGGTTCATTGAATATTCGACTAATATTAAATAAAATATCAAGTATTAGGGGTTAATTAGGGTTAGAGTAATTATCATTATATGTAAAATTGTCTTCATGACGTTATTTGAGCTAGATTTAAATATCTTTTGTGTATTTTGTCTTTACTTTCTTGCGCCGGATTTGTTTTGTTGTTTGCTCAAAAATTTACCACATTCTTATTGGTTGCGCGTATTCTCATTGGTTGGATATTATTGTTATCACGTGATAGTTACCTTTTTGCAGATCTTGTGCCTTCTGCCGATACAACATTAATTAATATTTCGACAATACAGTTATCTTTCTAGTTCAGATAAATATTATCTATCGCATAAATGAAAAGAAAGTATGTACTAATTAAAACAATCGGAAAATCATACAATTTGGCTCTTTTTAATGGACTGATCATGTTCGTTTCTAACCTTTATAGTTATCGGGAATCTTGTGTTTATCGATTTCAAGCTAGTGTTAGAAAAGTCATTGGTTCAATCGAAGCCGATTTAGCTGATCAATAGAATTGTACTAATTTAATCGTTCAGTATATAAAATTTCAAATAATAATAACTCGTTAAATTTGCTTTTAATTAATAGAGTCTTTAAAATTACTGACAAAAACCAAATTTATTTTCCATACCTGACCGCGGCAAAATGTTCGAGTATGGTAAATTCTTAAGAGATCCGAATCAATTGTGAGTTACGATATTAACTAGAATATCGCTTACTTACGAAATCTACCGCTTTTGGGAAAAATATCAAGGATCAATAATTCTAAGAAGCGGAATAACAGATACTTACCTTTACTTTACTTTGCAAATTCACTACAAACCTTTCCTAGAATCCTTTGGAAAGACAGTTATCTGAATTTTTCGTCTTTTACTACGAGAAAGCGATGTTTTCAGAAATATAAAAAATTCCAACTTTACATCCGTCATTAAATCTGATATTATTTTTGAGATATCCCAACTTTCACACCAGAGAAAACTTGTTCTTTTCCAAATAATAGGAATTCGCAGTCAACACCGATTAAAATTCTTGAACATTCTAAATGATCATTAATTCAAAATCATTTTTTATCAATATTTGAAATTTTTTTAGAAATTTTCGTTTATTTGATACTCTTATAATTAATAACTTCTTGTGATAAAACGAAAATGATAACTAAAAAAATCATAACCAACTTACTATATCAAAATAAAATTAATTTTCGATATCAAAAATATATATGATAAAATAATAATTAACTTAATTATATCAACTATATCAAAATAAATTAGATTTACAAAAGAAAAAATATTAGGATTACAAAAATAAAAGAATAACTTAATAAATTTATATTTACAAAGGATATATTAAGTTATCGAAATAGAATGTTTGATGTGTTTCTTGAGTATATCCAATTTCCATAGTTCTACGCATGTCCATATATTAAAGATCTTAATAAATTTTATATCAAATTTAATATTATTGCATTCAAGAATTATCTCGAATCCATCCCATCACAAGTTTTCCTTTATCTCTATCATTTTCGTCGTTGTTGTCGCCCTTTGTTCGACCAATAACAAATACATTTTCTGGTCGTCCCGACTGATCTTTAGCAATAGCTATACATTCCATTTCCGGAATTCCAGTAATACGAATATGATTCCAAATTCTTTTCTCTGGTGAATACAACTTGCACATTTCCCAAGGTCGAACAATGTTACAATTATCTTCATACATCCAATTGTCTTTTTCATATCCGCCTAATATTGCAATTTTTTTTCCAATTGTGAACATTGCTGCGCCTCGTCTTTTTCCCGTTATTTTTCCGGTAGTTTCCTTCCAGTCACCATTATTATCGGGCCCAAAAAATGATGATGTGGAAATACGAGGTGAGAATAATTTTTTCCATTTATTTTGCAAGAAATTGTTCTTGATATTTCTAGTGTTGCTTTCAAAGCTAAATTCCCATAGATCTTCGTTATCATGAATGTCAGATTGTGAGCTCGAGATGTTGAGGCTGATTTGTTGACCACCATAGATATACAATGAATAGCCAACCACCAAAGATGAATGTGCCGACCGTGCATAAGGGAGCCCGTGGTTAACGTCGGGATATTTGAGCCAACTCTTCTCCACATCACTATACAGATAAAAATCTTTGGTATCGTAAAAGCTACTGCAGCTTTTTATGCCATCTTTTGAAGTAGAATCATCTAATAATCAAGAAAATTCAAATTAGAAAATTAACAGCTTGAAAGAATGAACATATAAATGGCTAATTTTACCCGTCATTGATGAACGACCTCCAAAAAGTGCTACATGTTGATCATCAATTTTATCGAAAGAGTGCCACATTTTCGCGGAGGGTAGAACATCTCCATTAAAACAAACTGTACGTAATATCATATTTTTCGTGTCTAATTCGTAGAAAATATTAGAGGGCTCGCCGGCGAGCGTTTCGCCACCAAAAATATAAATGAGGTCACGTAATACAGTTGAAACAGTATTTCGAAGAGGCTGATAGTCATTTTTGTTATCTAAATTCATGGAAATTTCTACTTTTTTCCACTTGATAACAAGTCGTTTGAAATCAAGTAACCAACAAATGGGTGCTTCAGCCACCAAAATTGGAATATAAAGCACACCATTAAGTAATACGCCGTCTCGATAATTTGCAGCCGGCGGCCCATAATACTTTCCATCTGCGGTTGTAGATTCGAATGGTTCCCATTTTGGTGTGACAATCCCAAAATAATAAATACGAAAAACCCGGTATAACCATTTGCAGCTTAATGCAAGGTTAAATTGGTCCTTTTCATCCAATTCATTTAAGATAAAATGCAGCACCTCAATGGCAAGTTTTGTAAAGAAATCATTTTTGCTATTTCCTTTATTATTTTCGTTGTTGTCATCGGTATTCGATGAAATTGGCTTTACAGACGAACAAGTGGCACTCATTTTAAAAGTAAATTGAAAATTGCTTTGTTCAGAATTTAATGCATTGGATCTTTGTATATATTTAAAGGAAATAAGTGATAGAAAAATTTGCACACAGCAAATTTAAGAAAAATTGTTAAAGAATCATTCTCTCCACCATCCCCGAATAGCGGTTTTCGCTTAATACTTAGTCATACCTTTGGTTAAAAGAACAGCAACAATAATAGTTTTAAGACTGTTGCAATAGAAAACAAATCGCAGAACTTGGCAAAAAAATGACACACTACCTCTTTAAATATTTTCCCTTACATTTTTTAGCTTTCAATTTATTTAGTAAGGACCCGTCCCTGTTATTGATCGACGCAACTAAAATGACGAAATATCAGAATTATTAGATAATCCTTTCTTTAATTGGTTGACACCCAAAAATTACGGGAATTTCCGAAAATCACTGTCATATACTATCCGGTTTCGGAATCGTTTTTCGACCGGCGATTCTCACTTTTATTCGCTAGCTGTATTTTACACAAAACGTTCTCTCTTTATTTTAAGAAACCAACACACAAACGTTCTCTCTGGAAATGCGAGCTGCGAACGTTCTGTAAGCATTAATTAAGTGTTAGCTAAATTAAATTCTTCTAACAAAAATTATCTCGATTGTTGAACACAGATTTAATGTGGATTCCTGAATCCTGTAACCACATACAAGGTCAAAATATCTAGATGATACTAGAATTTTATGTTGCTCAGTTCATGGGTTACCGAAAATCACCACCTGACAGACAGTCAAATTTGTGACATTTTACATATTTTGGCCCCAAATATTACGTAAACTTTATAGATTCTTGATACTTAATTTAGGTAATTGATTTTTATCAGGTATCTATCTATCTGCTTTTTTTTTCCTTTTATACACTTATATAAATGACAAAATTCATCAAATGGGAAATTTACCACTTATGCTAAATTTTTTTTTACTTAGTTTGGGTAGAGCACTACATTGCGTCATCACACATTTTCCTATAAATAGTATAGCTACGGAGAATATTTAAACGTAAATACATGACTATATGTGTAATCAAAAAGACGGCATTGTTTATGTGAACACAAATTCGTGATTAATACGATCTTGGCAAGGTGATTCTAAAAACAATTTTGTTCTGCAATTCAACATTAGAACCCCTGCATCTTCAAGGACTGGGCATCACTCATTAATCCAAATACACAACTTGCGAACATGTAATCCCTTTAGATATTAAAATGTAATTCTATAAAAATTTTTCGCGGTTTTGTGTTATCACGCATTCGTGACATTTTAATATCAACTGCGCTTTGAGCATTTAATAAATTTAATACTATATGTATAATACTCCCTAAATGCACACACCTAGAGTTGACTGTAAACAGTATTAATAAAGTTATGTATCACATATCAATTCAATTCCCACTCAGAGTTCACATACGTGATACACAATTATAATGTGAAACAGGATCCCATATTTTCATACCCACTCGGGGCAAGATTCCCGAACTCTATTAATATATTGTGATTCGACTATTCATCACATAAATATAATATATGAATTCAAAATAATTTTGTAAATTGAACTATTATTATTACCAATTGATCATATGTCTAATATATTAATAAAATATAGTAAAAATTGAAACATTCTCTCTAAATTAAAATTTATAATTTTACTAATATTTTATATCTTTATTTTTATAATCTATAGTTTAATATATATTTTTTTTCAGTTTTTTAGATTTTTTCTGAAAGTTATCACAAGATTTTTTCTAATTAAATATGAAATTCAATTAGAAAAATTTGATAATGACTTTGCAATTAGAACAACTCTCTCAGAAAAATCAAAAAAATATATGGATTATGAATTTTAATTTGATATAAAATAAAAAATATTTATTAATAAAATTATAAAGTTTAATATATATAGAAAAAATTTCAATTTTTACTATATTTTATTAATAAATTTGATTTCTAATATATTATATTTGACTATCACTATATAATCTTTAATAAAATAAAAATAAAAATTTAATATAAAAATAAAATTTCAATTTTTATAATTTAAAAATTATTTAATATTTTTTAAAATAATATATTTTTGAAATTAATAAAAATAGAAATTATAATTTGATAAAAAATAATAATAAAGGAATTTTTATTTATATTTTAATTCAAATTTTTAAAAATTTAATAATATAATTAATTAAAAATCTTAATTTTTTAAATATAATACTTTTTATTAAATAATATTAAATATTATTTTTAAATTAATTTCTTATATAAAAAAATTATTTAAAAAAATAAACAATTTTTTTAAGAATTAAAATTTTGAAATTGGAAATATTAATAAGATTCTTTATTAATTATATATATTTTTTAAAAAATAATATAATACTTGAATTTTTTACTAATTTTAATTAATAAAATATATAATTTTATTAAATAAAAAAATTTTTATTTTATTAATAAATATTTTTTATTTTTAATATAAATTAAAATTAAAATTTTATTTTAATATATATTTTAAGAATTAATTAATTAATTAATTAATTAATATTTATATAATTTTTAATAAAAGTAATAAAAATAAATATTTTTTTTTATATTTTATTAATACAAAATATATTAATTTAATAAAATATTATTAAAATTTTAATTAAAATTTTTATTATAAATTAAATTTATTAAAATAAATTTTTTTTAACTAATATTAATTAAATAAATATAAAATAAAAATTTTTAAATAAAAATTTTATATCTTAAAATATATTTTTATAAAAATATTTTTAAAATATTATTATTAAAAATATTTTAAATAATTTTTTATTTAAATTAACTTATAATGATGACCAAAAATAATAACTTAGAGACTAAATTTATTAATAAATATAGTAAAAATAAAAATTTTCTTTCTATATTAAAATTTATAATTTTATTAAGAAATAATTTTTATTTTTATATTAAATTAAATTTTATCAATTATAGTTTAATATATATTTTTTTTAGAAAATCTAAAAAAATTGCTCTAATTATAAAGTTAATACAAAAATTTTTATTAATTA